GTGGCGTCGTGCGTGTGCGTGTGCGGTAGTGCGTGTGGCGTCGTGCGTGTGCGTGTGCGTGTGGGTGGTGCGTGATGGCTGAGTGTGTTTGGTGTTGTGGAGAGAGGAGGGCGTGTGCCGTGTTTGTGCTTTGTGACCTGTGACAGAGAGAGAGAGCAGAGAGAGAGAGAGAGAAAGAGAGAAGAGAGGAGAGAAGAGAGCGACGCGACGCACGAGAGAGAAGACGAGAGAGAGAGAGAAGAGAGAGCGCGCAAAGAGAGTAGAGGCGCGACGAGAAACAGAGACGGTGTTGTGCGCGCGCGCGCGTGTGTCAGAGACGAGACGAGAGAGAAGAGAGAGAGAGCTTGTGGCCTGTAGATTGTGCGTGTGCTGTGCTGTGTGCTGTGTGTGTGTGTATGGTCGTGTGTTCGTGCGTGCGTGCCTGCGTCATGTGCTGTGCGTGCGTGAGAGAGAGAGAGAGGTGTGCGTGTTTGTGCTGTGTGTGGTGTTGTTAGTGAATCAAAGTACTTATCCATATACTACGTACAACTAAGACAGTCGACAACGTGGCATAGGCCTACACTAACTAAATTATAAAAACTGCGGTGTTGATAGCTAGAGTAGATAGCCAGTAAAATCGGTGAAATTTCTGAAATCTCACGATGTAAACAAACTCAAGTCTATGAACATAATACCATTGTTGGCGTGGCATCCAATTCTGCCCAATCTAAGATCTCATTGAACTGTGAGGGCACGCTAAAACCCACGCTGATAACCTGTCTGGTAGAATCGGATCTCTCTACCCTTCTTCTTCCTTCTTCGTTTTTTCTCTCTTTTTCTTGAATCTCAAGGGGGATATTTGTACAAGCGCATCCCCTTCTTCAGAGCAGGGCTGCACGAGCGGACGGGACGCTGGGGTGAGTTCTTGAAAGAAAAATGAAAATAACGGCCTAAAATACCGACATTTCCTGCAAATTTTCTGTTATTATATCATATTTTACTTGTTGTTGTTTCATTCAAATCACATGAGTTTTGGCCAGAAGACAAGATTGTCATCATTACATTCGCTGGGTACTCACATCATTTATTGCTAATAAGTGCGCCGACCAACTGATAATTACAGCTTTGCCGTTTCGAGTCACCGCCCGCTCCTTCATTTCAGTTTGGGGGGGAACATGAAATGTGCGACTTGCGTCACTTTAGAGGGTTTCAAAAAAATCCAAGATACGCCTCCGAAAACAGGAATAATATGGGCCCTTCTGTTGCTCTCTCCCTTCTTTTTCCGACGCTTTCTCTCCTCCTCTCTTACACACACCGACACGCTCTGCGTCTCTCTCTCTCTCTCTTCTCTTCTCTGCTCTCTCTCTCTCTCTCTCGCTCGCTCTTCTCTCTACTCTCTCTCTCTCGTCTCTCTCTCTCTCTCTCTCTCTCTCTCTCTCTCTCTCTCTCTCTCTCTCTCTCGCTCTCTCTCTCTCTCTCTCTCTCCTTTTTCTCCTCTCTTCTTCTTTTTTTTAATTTGTTTGGACAAAGGCAAGGGGGCGGTGTTGACCGTAAAAACAGCCCGCGGCCTCCGCCCACCCCGAGCCGCCCGGCACGCCGCGCCCCCCCCCCCCCTGCGTACGCCATGCGTCATCGTTAATATACTCTAGTATGCGTTTTTCCAGTAGTAACTGTAATGTCTCTTATAGTCCTTTGGACTCTGAAGAGTTACCGCTACGCGGACTCACGAGATTATACAGTGTATCACGTAACAGTGTTTTCTATGCGTGTGCGTGACGTTCTGTGTGCGTGGTGGTGCAGCCGTGCGCAGATATCATTCAATGCTAAAGTGTGTTCACGATATTGCGCCGGTCGTGGAGGCCAGATAAAGTACACCACGTTTTATAGTAAACCTTGGCGTGCGTACTGTTCCGGAAGCCTTCGTTACATGTCCCGCGGACGCAGCTTATCAACTGAAGGGAATTGGCGTTCTTGAACTGTTCAGGGACAGAGATGAGAATTTGCGGTGTGTTGCTGAATCATTCCATACCATTCCTATCAGAAGCAAGCAGCTGGACTACGCCATCTACCGTGATTGAACAGCAGTATGCAGGGTGTCATTTCTGCTGGCTGAAGCTCTGACAAATGTCTATGCGGTAAGGAGGGCTAGGAATTTCTTGACTCGCGAGTAAGACGAGGGGGAGGAGCAGCTCTTAGTTATTCATCGAGGCGGCAGGGGGTACATTTGGTACGAGCGGTCTCAAGGATGACTATTCGAAATTTACACTTATTTTAATTATTATTGAACCTATTCGTGATAATATTGAAACCTGTGGCTGACCTAGAAGGTGTGATATGTGCACGTGTTCATTGCAATTTATCAAGAAAAGGTACTGATAACTGTAGATATTAATGCGTACTGCTTTTTTCCAAACACCTAGAGGCGTGTCACAGCGCGAACGTCTCGGCAGATGAACGCAGCCGGCCACTTGAATGACACACGAGCGCTCGCTTATCCAAGATGGCGGCCCCCATGGCCGAGCTTGCCTCACCATTTTTAATCGCGAGATTTTAATGTCTTCGAACAAGGTACTGTTAAACGCATAGCCAGACGAAATGACATACGAATTAAATTTAGAAGTAAAGAAATGAAAAATGAAATGAGTTGAAATAGATGGCAAATTGAAGTCAGAAAGTTAGATTTCGCAATTCGCCGATTGCCCGCGCCATCTGAAAACAACTACGCAGCGCTACGCGAACAGCCTCGGAGCCGGCTTCGCGCGCGGCGCGCTCGCGAAGCAGTTAGTAACGGCAAGATCTACTGTAACCCACATGGAGGGGGGGGGGCGTGGGTCCCAGAAGAGGTGAAAAGTCCTGCTGTCTTAAGATGACATTTTCTATGTGTGGGGAGTACTGGAAAGCAGACTATTATTGCGTTTGCTCCTGGAAAATTCTTGAAATCAAAGCTCACGTGTCTGGGCTGGGAAGCAATAAAATTAGCCTCGTGCAAGTATTCGTGTACTGATCGCTGATTGAGTGATGTGAGGAGGTGATTGTGTGGAGAAACACTGCTTGCAATGAAAATATATTAGGTATAGGGGACAGAAAACGTTAAGTTTTGTGTTTTCCAATCTCGCTCATCATTTTACTCATGCTAATAATGTATGTAAGGCTTTCTTCATATGTTCGCCTGGTGTTTCAGTCTGCCTTACATAGAGTTATTTGGTGGAGCAATTGCAATCTCAGTGGAACAATTCAAGACCGTTAATGGCTTTGCGAACAGATTCTTCGGCTGGGGTGGGGAGGATGACGATACGTATGAGAGGCAAGTAGATTGATATTCTTTATGTGCGCTCTAACTGTATGTTGTAGTAATTCATCTATCTGTATATATGGGTGAGATAACAATGCATTATTGAATGCTAGGATGGTCAGGGTAGACCATTCTATACATGTTTTTCGTGCGTGAGCACGCTAAATTAACGACTTTGAGCCACTTCGTTGCTAAACCTTGCCTCCATTAAAACGATGATTGGCTAGAGCTCACTTACTATATCAGTATTTGTTTTTCAGGTTAATTGCATACAATATGAGCATCACTCGATGGCCAATGCATATTGCGAGGTACAAAATGCTTAATCACGTAAGGCAAACACCTAGTGTTAAAAGGTATGTATTTTTATAGTTTTGCATGAATAAACATCTTATTCATAACTGGGTTTCGTATATTTCATGCTCGTGAGTATACTTCTTATCATCAATAAATATCAGTTAGTGCAGTCTGATTAGCAAATAAGTAATTTTAGTCTTCAGTCCGGTATCCTGAGTGGTCCCTATACATTACTACATACCAAAGCTATTATTATATAAAGTGTTTTGGATTATGTCAATATAAAACCTTGTATGTATCAAGTTCAATATAATCAAGAGTGTATTAAGTGTTAATACTTAATACGCATACTTAATACGCATACTTAATATGCTCTTGATATAATCTATATATATATTCAATGTAAGTATGCTACTGTAAATTCAAGTTTGCTAGTCATGGAATGAGGTGTCTTCCACCATCTGTCGACGGTAATCGAATCGCACGCGTCAATACATGTTGTATAGATATGTTCATGATTGTAAGCAATGAGCATTTTTCCTGTGAAGGTAGGCATACGATGGTGGTAGTAACCCATGGGCGTACGCCGCAGCTGCGTTTGTATCATAACGGAGCATCGATTTTGGTTCTGTGTGTTTTAGAAATGAGGTGCTGGCACACACAAACCCCAGAGACGGTCTCTCCACCCTTGAGTACAAGGTACAGAAGACGGTGATGAGCAAACTCTACACTCATGTGATCGTCGACGTCTAGAGTTGGAACAAATCGTCGTTGTCTGTGATATTGTACAGGTAATATGTGGAAAAAATACCACAATCTCACAATGATATTTTTAGGAGTAAATGATTGGAATGGGGACAAAAATTAATAGCGATGGTAGGGATGTTCTCCTTATCATTTACTCGTGATAAGTTAACATGTACATGCTGTGCACTTAACAATGTTGGAAAATTTAATTTAAACTTGTATTGGTGCTTTTTTAACATCTCTCTCCAGTAAATTTTAATAGTAGAGGAAATAAAGCTATGCCAACAGCATTGAAATTGCATCTGCGAGGAATCGCTATGGAAGAAAGAAAATTAAGATACTACTTTTTGCACCACATGCAGGCATCTCCTTAGCAAACAATGAGGCATTATCCCGCGAGGTGAGAAATCTTCTACACTGAGGTCTAGCACCAGCTAGGAGACCAGAAACCCTTGAAATTCGCAGGATCGTCTCTACTGTCATCAAGAATCTGCCAAACTGCTTGCTTGCAGTATTCTGCCAGTCTCAGGCTGGCAACAAGTTCCGGATAAACATCGGGGAGGTTGTAATGCTCATTTTGGTCGAGTGCAAATCAAAATATTCGCAATTACATTATCATGTGTGCAATGTGCACCTAGTGGTGCGTTCGTACGCATGATAATGCATGCATACTTGCCAGTAATAGGTGACATTTGCATTTTTGTAAAATGTAGCTAGAGCTGTGCAGCATTTTATTGTAATACTTTTTTAATAACCAATTTACAATTACTAACTGTATATTTAAAAATGTTAAATGTAAAAATGTAAATTTCTCCCAGTTCCAGTGCCGTTCTCCCAGACCGCGTCCTACCGCCATTTCACAATGACCCTAGAAACGCCCGACCTAAAACACGTTTACCATTCTCCCTATAACATCAATCTAGCCGCACAAGATGCGCGACGCTCTGTCTACATAGACTACCACCAAAACAACCCCGAGTCTAGCCGCACTCCGCGTTACATTATCTCCCCCTTCCCCAAGACGATGACTACCCTGTCATCGATTCAGCGTCCCCGCTGATCTACACTTCAACCTAAACCTAAATAATTTCTAAAATACATATAAAGCATAAAGCTTTCTATACAAAACTAGAACACAAAACAAGTAACGATAAAGTTCGATCACCATACACGTCAGAAATTCAACACATTTGGCAGTGAACATTTTTATATCGCTTCAATTACTCTCAGTCTTGCATCTTTTTATGCTGTAATGTACGTGGCGTATGCGTATACCGGCACGCATTACCGAAACCACGTTTAGCCATGTGCTCCATTACATCCTCATTTAAACCTCTTAATCCCATTATTACACACAGCACCGATGTGGACCTGACAACCTTTGTCACTTCCACACATCATACAGCCAAAAAAAAACAACGCAAAACTGATTTCATATTTTCGATTAAATGTTTTAGGCCTATATCAAACTCTATTGAAGGAATGTGTTTAGCAGTCTGACAATATAGTGTAAACTTAAGGGCCGGACCACACTATGGCGATTAAATCGGTTGACTAAACGTCGGCCGATTTATATCACGCGAGTGAAATCGCCTATCGTGCTGCATGTGCACGTAGACGTGGCGTCGCGTGCGTGCGTGCGTGCGTGCGTGCGTCGCGTGCGACGCGTGTGCCACGTCTACACCTCAGCGTGCATTCATGCGTGCGATCTAGTCGTGTCGTATGTAAATGTGCGTGGCATTGCGTACGTGCCTGGTGTTGCGTGTGCACGTTCACCTGCGTTGGCATGCGTGCGTGCGCTATCCGTGCCTGCGTTGCGTGTGCACGTTCACCTGCGTGATGCGTGCGTGCGTACCTGCGATGCCTGCGTGGTCGTGGTAGTGCAGCGTCACACGTTGTGTGCATGTGTGCGTGCGGTTGCGTACGTGCGTGTGTGTGGCAGGTACATGTGCGTGCGTGCGTGCATGCGCATGTGCACGTACACGTGCGTGCGTGCATGTGCACGTACACGATGCGTGCATGTGGACGTACACGTGCGTGCATGCGTGCGTAGCTGCACGTACACGTGACGTGCATGCGCTGCGTGTGCACGCTACACATGCTATGTGCGCTGCGTGCCATCGCTATTATATAGTAGATGACATACTAAACATGAAACATCGCTATTACGTCAGTATCATTGAACAACTCTGATTGGCTGATGAATTGTACAATCGGGCGATTTTATCGCCGGCCCCGGACACACTAGGCGATTAAATCAGGCGACAAAATCAGGCGACTAAATCGCCCGATAATATCAAAACGTTTTGATCTATGCGATTAAATCGGGCGACTAAATCGGCGGCGATTGAGTGGACACACTAGGCGATTTCACGGCGATTTAGTCGCCCGATTTAATCGCCTAGTGTGTCCGGCCCTGTACAGTTACGACAAATTTCAGAAAACGATCACAAATTTCTACACAAAGTTTCACGCAAAAGATTTTCCCACACAAAGTCAAACGGTCACAACCATGAACAAAATACCGCGTACATAAAACAAAGAAAAACATAAAAATACACATTCCTGATGATGTCACCCTTTCTCGTCCAGTTTCCACCAATTAAACTGTATATTTTTACATTTTTACTGTATATTACTGTATATTTACTGTATATTTAAAAATGTTGCAAGTCTATGTTGCAAACACTTACAATACATGTGTGAAAGCAACAAATTCTGTGGTGAATTTAATGCGTGTGTATGGGACTATGTTCGTTCTATGTTACTTCTAACGTGATAATATAAATTAACCTTACTAGATTATGCGCATGAACATATCCATACAATCAGGAGTCTATCAATAGATATTGTTAGACTCCTGATACAATGTATAGGTATACATTTGTAATTTATAATTGTGTTGTCTTTACAACTGTAAAGTATAAATATTGTATGCATAGTATACACATGTTGGTGATGTTACAGTTACTAAATAAGGTGAAAATGAACTAGTATCGCCATGGCGAGCAATAACAATCTCACTGACTCTTGTTACTAGTTTTTCTCCTATCTTCCCACTGCATTTTCGATCCAGTATTGAGCTCGCAAGAGAAGGTCGAGGGCGTGGTCAGATGCGTCCTTACTAGCTATGAAATCGATGTCAATGTCATACCAGAAGTGTGAACTCATGTATATAATTTTACACATGTGGAGGTCATAAGTAAAACGGTGTAACAGCAAAAGTAATAGCAGTAGCAGCATCGGGAGCATCGCCATTGGTAACAAGGCCAGATATTATTTTTACTATTATTATTATTAAGATCTATTAAGGTACAGCACGTAATCCCGGCGTGTGATGCGTGTGCGAAACAATATCTCATACCAGGGCACGCATATCAATACGTAGAACAATACCAGATATAGATATATACCGTGTAATGTGATGTGTGTGTGTGTGTGTGTGTGTGTGTGTGTGTGTGTGTGTGTGTGTGCGT